AACACTGACACGAATGTTCCCGTTCCCATCGACTGCTACAGAGCACTAACAGGAATTAGAACGGCTATATTCACTGGAGTCGGGATTTACGAGTTTGTTGTTGCTCGTATGCAAATTACCCACCTCCCAGATCTCTACCCACTGTACACAATGTCTCTCTCCCTTTCGAACGTCGACTTCGGCCGGACTCTGCTGCAGTCGATGTCGTAGACGAAGCAGTAAAGTAGTCAAGCCACTACGATGCCCTATACTCAATTTGGGCGAGTGAGCACAGCTAGCGTCATGTCAAGGTGGTGGCTGCTTCCAGAATGAGTTCCTTGAGGCAGGGACGCCGCCGGTTCCCGCATCCTCCTCGAAAGAACCAATCAGAGGGAAGACACACAGGTGCCTACCTCTCTCAACCAATCAGCGACGGTGTAGCATGGCCTTAGGACGACTTCAAGATGGCCGCTCCAACATGGCGGCCCAAGATGGACGCCTGCCGTTCCCATGGCGACGATGCTGGAGCTAGCGGGAGGCCCACGCTCACACCATGCAGCTGGCGGTTCCAAGCAAATCTTATCTTAATCCAAGCTTTCAATGAAAAGATGCTATTAATATATGTCTGTCCACAGACGTGCTACCCCGGCCTGGGTGGCATATCTGGAATGCTGATGACTGGGGCTCTCACATGAGTCCAAACTCAAGATGTTTCGGGTACTGGTTACCAAACTTAAGTCCGCGCACTTAACAAGTGCACTTAAGCAGTGTATTGGCTGCCACAGGCAGAAGAGCACCATTGTAAGTGAACTGGTGCACCATTCCCCTCACAGAAAAGTAAAATAAATGACATGATCTCGGATGCAATCTTTCCAGTGAGGTACCAAGTTATAAGAAAATATAGGACACAGAGCTAGGGAGGGGGAGTGGCACTCCTAATAAAGCGGAAATGAAAGTTTGAAGACCTAGAAAATCCAGGTGCTAATGAAAGCACAAGCTTTCATTAGACTCTGACAGCAGATGGGAATAAGATTGTGATTTTGATAATCTACAATCCCCCATCACACAGTAGAAGGCCTGGGCATGAGTATGATGACAACAACAAGGCTTGCATAGATGAGCTGCAGAAGGCACCACCAACAACACACAAAATGAGAGCGAAACTTCTGGTCATGGGGGGAACTCAATCATGGAGAGATCAGCCGGAAATCTAGGAATTTCCGTGGTGGGGAGGAAACGTTGGGAGCAAAAGTAGTAGACGTTATAGACAGGAATTTCCTAATACAGCATGTGAAGGAAGACACAAGGGAAAGTGGAGGGGGAATACACCGAGCCTATTAGACATGATTTTTACCCAGAACGTAGAAGACATCGAGAATTTGGAATATAAAATAATTCCATTAGCCAGTGACCATTATGTCCTAGTCTTTGACTACATGATGGAACTTAAGATTGTGACCACGAGACAAGAGATCTGGGAAAGGAGAGTTGACTACAAGAAAGGGGATTACTGCGGGATAAGGGAATACCTGGGTGAAGTGCAGTAGGAGGAAGAAATTAGAGGAAAAACAGTCCAAAATATGATAGCCCTAGTCGTTATACCAGGGGAATAACCAGGAGAGTATACCAGGGGAATAACCAGGAGAGTATACCAGGGGAATAACCAGGAGAGTATACCAGGGGAATAACCAGGAGAGTATACCAGGGGAATAACCAGGAGAGTATACCAGGGGAATAACCAGGGGAGTATACCAGAAGATAAAGGAGGAGATTTCCTCCTGGAAATACCAGGAGGCTGAAGAGAGATTTATACTAACAGTAAAGAGAAAAAAAGTTATAATATCCCATGGTTTAATAGACATTGTCAGGAAGCAAAAATGAGAAGCAAGAGGGAGTCGAGGAAGCACAGAAGACAAAGAACAGAGGACAGGAGGATTAGATCCAACAAAGCTTGGAACGATTACATTACCAATAGAAGGGTATCGAAAACAAATTCTAAGAACGATATTGCGATGAGAGCGAAAAATCAACCTAAAATACTACACAGCCAAATAAGAAGGAAAATGTCGGTGAACGACCAAGTGACAAAAACAAGGTAAACAGAAGGGAGCATATACGGAGAGTGACAACGAAATCTGCGAGGCACTGAATGCCAGCTTCCATGGAGTGTTCACAACCGAGCCTGAGCAGCTCCCATTGTTAGAAGAGATTACCCTAGATGAAAGACTATCAGATATAGAGGTGACAGCAGAGGAGGTAATGAAACAGCTGACAACACTGAATTCAACTAAAGGAGGTGGACCGGACTATGTATCACCGTGGATACTAAAAGAGGCAGTGCAGGCCCTCAGCGTGCCTCTGGCAAGGATCTATAATGAGTCACTTATAACGGGGAGAGTTACCCAGTTGCTGGAAGAGGATGAATGTGGTACCAATTTTTAAGAAAGGGTAAGGCTAAGACTTGTTGTACAGCTAGAGCATTAGTTTTGTAAACAAACATCAACATGGGTTCAGGGAAGGGAAATCATGCCTAACAAACCTTCTGGAATTCTATGATAAATGACAAGAATTAGTCAGGACAGGAACGGATGGGCAGACTGCATATTTCTGGACTGACAAAAAGCCTTTGATACAGTATTGCACATGAGACTGCTATTCAAACTTGAGAGACAAGTAGGAGTAAGCAGAAAGGCCCTAGCATGGGTAAGGAACTACCTAACAGGCAGGAGCCAGAAAGTAACGGTAAGGGGCGAGAAGTCAGACTGGCGAGCAGTAACAAGTGGAGTACCTCAAGGAATGGTGCTGGGACCAGTTATATTTTTAATATACGTAAATGACATGTTTACAGGAGTAGAGTCCTATATGTCGATGTTCGCGGATGAGGCAAAATTAATGAGAAAAGTTGTGACAGATGAGGATTGTAGAATCCTCCAAGAGGACTTGAACAAGTTGCAGAGACGGTCAGGAAAGTGGCTACTACTTGAACACAATCAAATGGGTTAAGGTATGTTATCCCATTTCCAAAATTATGGAAATGGGATTAGGTGATAGGAGACCAAAGGGACAGTACACAATGCAACTGTGAAGATTCGAGAAAGAGACCTGGGAATGGATGTAACACCTAATCTAACTCCTGAGGCACATATAAATAGGATAAAAACAGCAGTGTACTCTGCACTGGCAAAAGTTTCAGAACATCATTCAGAAACCTAAGTAAGGAGGCATTTAGGGCGCGTTACACTGCCTATATGAGGCCAGTCATAGAGAATGTTATGCCATCATGGAGTCCCCACCTGAAGAAACACATAAGGAAACTGGAAAAGGTTCAGAAGTTTGCGGCTAGGCTCGTCCCAGAGTTACGAGGGATGGGGTATGAAGAGCGCCTAAAGAAACAGAACCTGACGACACTAGAATAAAGAAGGAAGAGGGGAGATATGAAAGGGGCATATAAAATACTCTGGGAGATTGGCCGAGTGGAAACAGAATTTTTTTTCACTGTACACTAACAGAACGAGGGGTCATGGGTGGAAGCTGGAAACTCAGATGAGTCACAGAGATGTTAGGAAGGTTTCTTTTATCGTGAGAGGAGTGGAAAAATTAAATGAAGTTAGGAGCAGGTTGTGGAAGCAAACTCTATTCATAATTTTAAAACTAGATATGATAGGAAAATAAGACAGGAGTCATTGCTATAAACAGCCGGTGGCTAGAAAGGAGGGATCCAAGAGTCAATGCTCGATCCAGCAAACACAAATAGGTGAGTACAAATAGCTAAGTACACACACACACAGATGTGTGTATGAGAGATGGGACTTCGTGACACACTACCAACATGGGTTCAGGGAGGGTAAATCTTGCGTCATAAGTGTAATAGGATTCTACGATCAGGTGACAAAGATTAAACACGAAAGAGAAGATTGGGCAGACGGCATCTTCTTGGGCCGTCGGAAAGCCTTTGACACAATACCCCATAAAAGGCTGGCACATAAATAGGAGAAACAGGCAAGAGTAACTGGAAGGGTGCTCCAGTGGGTAAGGGAGTACCTAAGCAATAGGAAGCAGAGAGTTACTGTGAGGAGTGAGACCTCAGATTGGCATGAAGTTAAACGCGGAGTCCCACGGGGTTCTTTACTCGGACGTATCCTGATTTGTATATACGTAAATGATCTCCCAAAGGGTATAGACTCATTCCTCTCAATGTTTGCCGACTAGTCAAAATTATGAGAAGGATTTGAGAAGGATTAAGATAGAGGAGGATAGCATGAGCTTCAAGAAGACCTAGACAAATTGAAAGAGTGGTCAAACAAATGGTTGTTAGAGTTTAACAAGAGCAAATGCAATGTAGTGAAGATAGGTGGAGGGAGAAGGAGGCCAAATACAAGGTATCATTTGGGAGATGAAATTCTTCAAGAGTCAGAGAGAAAGACATGGGGGTTGATATCAGGCCAGACTTGTCATCTGAAGCCCATATCAAGAAGATAACATCAGCGGTATACGCCTGGTTGGCTAACATAAGAACGGCATTTAGAAACTTGTGTAAGGAATCATTCAGAACCTTGTATACCACTTATGTCAGACCAATCCTGGAGTATGCAGCTTCAGCATGGAGACCATATCTTGTCAAACATTAGACTGAACTGGATAAGGTTCAAAGGTTTGCCACCAGACTAGTATCCGAACTGAAGGGTGTGAGCCACAAGGCGAGACTATGGGAATAAAACCTCACGTCGCTGGAAGAGTTAGAGAGAACACGATCACCACATACAAGATTCTCAAAGGAATTTATAGGGTAGATAAAGACAGGCTATTTAACACCAGAATGCACACGCACTAGGGGACGCAGGTGGAAACTGAATGCCCAAATGAGCCACAGAGATATTAGAAAGAACTTTTTTAGTGTCAGAGTAGTTAACAAAAGGAATGCATTAGGCAGTGATGTGGTGGAGGTAAACTCCATATTGAGTTTCAAATATAGATATGACAGAGCACAATATGCTCAGGAATCTGTACACAGGTTGGTTGATTGACAGTTGAGAGGCGGGACCAATGAGCCTACGCTGAACCCCCGCAAGCACAACTAGGTGAGTAAGCACACAAACGCACAAATATATATATAATGGTAAAATATTGTTTAATATCACAACATGTTGAAACAGTACGAGCTTCTTGAATGCGTAAGAAATAGCTTCAGTATTGAATGCAAGTGGATAATTTCCGAGCGAGCTTCCTGCCCATCACGTCTGCCCAACTTGAAGTATCATTTGCTGAGATTAGTGCCATCAGTGCGGAGTCTGTTCCACCAGCTCTCATCTCCCCAGATATTAGAATGGATTCTCAGTTGCAGTCGCAGGCGATCTTCATCTTGCATATCCGGGAAGACCTGCAGGCCAGCGATCATCTCCACGTCGCGCACCTTGGCGCTGTTCTCTCGCGCGTAGCTCCGGGCGTCCTGTAGGGCAGGTCAGAGGTATTAGTATTCTGGGCTCCTGCTAAAATGAAAATATGTCGTGAGCGTGAAAACACGACACAGCTGCAGTATACATCACACAGGAACACGGCTACATAAGCTATCATTACATAACAGGTAGAAAAATATAACAAAGTTGTAGACAGAATCACTTCAACACTTTGGAACACCAGAGACGGAGGATGCTTTTTGGTGATGGGAGGAGATGGACAGAGAAAGGGATAGGGAAGGATAGATGAGACATGGGGGAGATTGGCTAAAAGTGGGGAGAGACCCGGGCCAAACAGGGACACCCCCCCCCCTCCCTATCTTGAGGTTATCATGAGATGATTTCGGGGCTTTTAGTGTCCCCGCGGTCCGGTCCTCGACCAGGCCTCCACCCCCAGGAAGCAGCCCGTGACAGCTGACTAACACCCAGGTACCTATTTTACTGCTAGGTAACAGGGGCATAGGGTGAAAGAAACTCTGCCCATTGTTTCTCGCCGGCGCCTGGGATCGAACCCAGGACCACAGGATCACAAGTCCCGCGTGCTGTCCGCTCGGCTCCCTTAGCAATATATAATTTATTAAAATAAACAATAATGTAAACAATGCATTATCATCATAACAGAAATGCTTTCAACCAAAAATACATTTACAGGAATAAACAGTTTAAGGTCTCGAAGCTCTCCTGATACAACCAGTACCAGGTGACCTCACAGCTTCTATTTTCCTGACCTCTGTATCACTGTAGGTGACTGACCTCTGTATCACTGTAGGTTCCTGACAACTGTATCAGTGTAGGTGCCTGACCACTGTTTACCTGTAGGTGCATGAGCACTGTATCACTGTATATGTCGTACCACTGTATCCCTGTAGGTACCTGACTACTGTACCACTATATATACTGGACCACTGTGTCACTGTTGGTGCGTGGCCACTGTATCATTGTAGGTACCTGACCACTGTATCAGGTACCTACAAAGAGCTTGACAAACTTTGGATGCGACGGAAGTGCGTCCGTGAGCTCCGGAGATTGGAGGATCTGGGAGCCTCGCTCAGTGGATTTTGAGCAGCCATCGCAGTCTACCATTGTCGCAGAGGACCAGTATACTCCTGAGGAGTACCAGAAGCCGAGTTTAGTGAGAAAAGAAGGCCAAGAACTCGTCGGCAACGGGAGGAAAGCGGTGACTTAGGAGATCAAGTTGACCCCGTGAGTTCACCTTGGTATGATAAGCAGTGCTGCAGTGACTGGGTCACATCTACTGAGATTCTGGAGGGAAGACACCGTCTCTGGATCCAAGAGAAAATGTCTCGTTGAAGGAGCGAGTGTGTACAGTGACAGGCTCAGTGACCACTGGTTGAACCAGTTTGAAAAACCTGAGCTCAGGGAAGTAGTACGGTGAAGACGCGATGTCTCCACGACACCTGAGGGCCTGTAACACGCTGCCAGAACGCCGTGGAGTAGCGACCTCCGAACGGTGAACCTTCTACCATTAGCAGCGGTTTCACCCGTGGTTTGACTAAAGGGCTCCCAGGGCGATCAGTGGCACCCAGGTGAGTGGGAGCAGAGACGTGCGGCAGTGAGTATTGGTATGGTCCTCATCTTAGGGACCAAGTGACTCTAGTAAGCCACGTGAGTCAAACAGACTAACCTCTTCCCCAGCCCATCCCCCTGTAACACTGGCCACTGTCAGCCTCTCTTGACCTCTTGTCTATCGTCTCTCTAACTTTCTATGACATGGATCAGCCATGAGGTGAGCCAACTAGAACTCTGCTTCTCAAAGAGAGATCGTCGCTGCTCTGACTCGTGGGTTGGTCTTTCTCTTCCGTCTCAATTCTAAGGTTGTACTGTACGAGGGCAGACTGCTCTCTCTCTCTCTCACTCCTCGTGACGACTACCGACCCATCCCGCGTTAGACTGTGATGAGTGACCTCTCATTGAGGTACAGTTTTGGTGAGAAAAGTAGCTCCCTCAAAAACTTCCATCACCCATAAATTCCTTAATACAACCAGCAGTAATAAATCACTGTTGTTGCTGTATTAGTCAACACATAAATTAAATTATATTAGTTAGCTCTGAAGGGATGGCATACACGACAAATTTTCTTTATAAAACGAGCAATTAATGTTGTCATGTTGCCTTATTATCTCACACACAAAATATTATTTCTTAATTTAACTCTAAAGCAACAGTCTTTACTGTTGCTTTAACAGGTTATTAATGAGAATGTATCTGGGGAGGCGTCCCTGGAGCAGGGGAAGGAGACGTTTACTGTTGCTCAAGCAGCAGCAGCACCTGCAACTACCACATGGTCCGTGAGGAGACCAAGGACGTCATTGCCACACATGGTCCGTGAGGAGACCACGGACGTCATTACCACACATGGTCCATAAGGAGACCAAGGACGTCATTACCACACATGGTCCGTGAGGAGACCACGGACGTCATTGCCACACATGGTCCGTGAGGAGACCACGGACGTCATTACCACACATGGTCCATAAGGAGACCAAGGACGTCATTACCACACATGGTCCGTGAGGAGACCAAGGACGTCATTACCACACATGGTCCGTGAGGAGACCAAGGACGTCATTACCACACATGGTCCGTGAGGAGACCAAGGACGTCATTACCACACATGGTCCGTGAGGAGACCAAGGACGTCATTACCACACATGGTCCGTGAGGAGACCAAGGACGTCATTACCACACATGGTCCGTGAGGAGACCAAGGACGTCATTACCACACATGGTCCGTGAGGAGACCAAGGACGTCATTACCACACATGGTCCGTGAGGAGTCCAAGGACGTCATTACCACACATGGTCCGTGAGGAGACCAAGGACGTCATTACCACACATGGTCCGTGAGGAGACCAAGGACGTCATTACCACACATGGTCCGTGAGGAGACCAAGGACGTCATTACCACACATGGTCCGTGAGGAGACCAAGGACGTCATTACCACACATGGTCCGTGAGGAGACCAAGGACGTCATTACCACACATGGTCCGTGAGGAGACCAAGGACGTCATTACCACACATGGTCCGTGAGGAGACCAAGGACGTCATTACCACACATGGTCCGTGAGGAGACCAAGGACGTCATTACCACACATGGTCCGTGAGGAGACCAAGGACGTCATTACCACACATGGTCCGTGAGGAGACCAAGGACGTCATTACCACACATGGTCCGTGAGGAGACCACGGCAGCTAAACTGTACGATAATCCTCAGTAAGAAATTCCTGTCAATTAGTTTTCATTCGGTAGAACATAAGAGATTAACGCTCCCAGCTTGTGAAGGGTAGAACCTAAGAGATTAACGCTCCCAGCTTGTGAAGGGTATAACATAAGAGATTAACGCTCCCAGCTTGTGAAGGGTAGAACCTAAGAGATTAACGCTCCCAGCTTGTGAAGGGTATAACCTAAGAGATTAACCCTCCCAGCTTGTGAAGGGTATAACCTAAGAGATTAACGCTCCCAGCTTGTGAAGGGTATAACCTAAGAGATTAACCCTCCCAGCTTGTGAAGGGTATAACCTAAGAGATTAACGCTCCCAGCTTGTGAAGGGTATAACCTAAGAGATTAACCCTCCCAGCTTGTGAAGGGTATAACATAAGAGATTAACCCTCCCAGCTTGTGAAGGGTAGAACATAAGAGATTAACGCTCCCAGCTTGTGAAGGGTAGAACATAAGAGATTAACGCTCCCAGCTTGTGAAGGGTAGAACATAAGAGATTAACGCTCCCAGCTTGTGAAGGGTAGAACATAAGAGATTAACGCTCCCAGCTTGTGAAGGGTAGAACATAAGAGATTAACGCTCCCAGCTTGTGAAGGGTAGAACATAAGAGATTAACGCTCCCAGCTTGTGAAGGGTATAACCTAAGAGATTAACGCTCCCAGCTTGTGAAGGGTATAACCTAAGAGATTAACCCTCCCAGCTTGTGAAGGGTAGAACATAAGAGATTAACGCTCCCAGCTTGTGAAGGGTAGAACATAAGAGATTAACGCTCCCAGCTTGTGAAGGGTATAACCTAAGAGATTAACGCTCCCAGCTTGTGAAGGGTAGAACATAAGAGATTAACCCTCCCAGCTTGTGAAGGGTCTAACATAAGAGATTAACGCTCCCAGCTTGTGAAGGGTCTAACATAAGAGATTAACGCTCCCAGCTTGTGAAGGGTAGAACATAAGAGATTAACGCTCCCAGCTTGTGAAGGGTAGAACATAAGAGATTAACCCTCCCAGCTTGTGAAGGGTATAACCTAAGAGATTAACGCTCCCAGCTTGTGAAGGGTATAACATAAGAGATTAACGCTCCCAGCTTGTGAAGGGTAGAACCTAAGAGATTAACGCTCCCAGCTTGTGAAGGGTAGAACATAAGAGATTAACCCTCCCAGCTTGTGAAGGGTCTAACATAAGAGATTAACGCTCCCAGCTTGTGAAGGGTAGAACATAAGAGATTAACCCTCCCAGCTTGTGAAGGGTATAACCTAAGAGATTAACGCTCCCAGCTTGTGAAGGGTAGAACATAAGAGATTAACCCTCCCAGCTTGTGAAGGGTATAACCTAAGAGATTAACGCTCCCAGCTTGTGAAGGGTAGAACATAAGAGATTAACGCTCCCAGCTTGTGAAGGGTAGAACATAAGAGATTAACCCTCCCAGCTTGTGAAGGGTCTAACATAAGAGATTAACGCTCCCAGCTTGTGAAGGGTCTAACATAAGAGATTAACGCTCCCAGCTTGTGAAGGGTAGAACATAAGAGATTAACGCTCCCAGCTTGTGAAGGGTATAACCTAAGAGATTAACGCTCCCAGCTTGTGAAGGGTATAACCTAAGAGATTAACCCTCCCAGCTTGTGAAGGGTAGAACATAAGAGATTAACGCTCCCAGCTTGTGAAGGGTATAACCTAAGAGATTAACGCTCCCAGCTTGTGAAGGGTAGAACATAAGAGATTAACCCTCCCAGCTTGTGAAGGGTCTAACATAAGAGATTAACGCTCCCAGCTTGTGAAGGGTAGAACATAAGAGATTAACGCTCCCAGCTTGTGAAGGGTAGAACATAAGAGATTAACGCTCCCAGCTTGTGAAGGGTAGAACATAAGAGATTAACGCTCCCAGCTTGTGAAGGAGTGTATTAGTGGGGCAGAATGTCATCTATACACTCCACTCTTTTAAACTAATAATTTATTAGTAAGTTAAAAGTTAATCAATTTAATAAACAAATAAATAATAAGAACTAAAATAAATAATCAAAATAACACTGGTAAATTTCTCAACATTAAAGGAAAGGCAACGTCGGCTCTCGTGACGTGAGGTGAGAGATGTAACAACTTTATTACAAGTTGTTACAAGCGGAAAATAGAGACAGTTTCGGTTTGTGTTTCCAGGGCTAGGTCGTGTTGGGGCGGAGGGATCTGAACCGGCGTTCTGCTGATTCTCAGACATCTGCCTTAACCCATTAAGCCATGATATGACTAGAGCCTACTTACCTGGAACTGTACTAAATTCCTTGGGAGGTCTTGGAGGCACGAACCGGTTCCCTTCCAGGATTTTATGAACGCCCCGCATACAATGCATTGCTTTTACCATATCGTGGTGTAGTGGTCTAAGGTGGTTGCTTCCAAGTACCAAGAACATTGATTCGAATTCTCCTCATAACTCCTACTGATTTTCTCAATGATACGTCACGTTAATATGATTTCTTTGTCCATTTGAAGAGAAATGTTTTAGGTGAACTCTTGGACCACAGCGAGAGTGCATGGGGGGGGGGGGATGTTTAGGTGAACTCCTGGACCACAGGGAGAGTGCATGGGGGGGATGTTTAAGTGAACTCCTGGACCACAGCGAGAGTGCATGGGGGGGGATGTTTAGGTGAACTCCTGGACCACAGGGAGAGTGCATGGGGGGGGGATGTTTAGGTGAACTCCTGGACCACAGGGAGAGTGCATGGGGGGATGTTTAGGTGAACTCCTGGACCACAGCGAGAGTGCATGGGGGGGGGATGTTTAGGTGAACTCTTGAACCACAGCGAGAGTGCATGGGGGGGGGGATGTTTAGGTGAACTCTTGAACCACAGCGAGAGTGCATGGGGGGGGGGATGTTTAGGTGAACTCCTGGACCACAGCGAGAGTGCATTGCGGGGGGGGGATGTTTAGGTGAACTCTTGAACCACAGCGAGAGTGCATGGGGGGGGATGTTTAGGTGAACTCTTGAACCACAGCAAGAGTGCATGGGGGGGGATGTTTAGGTGAACTCCTGGACCACAGCGAGAGTGCATGGGGGGGGATGTTTAGGTGAACTCCTGGACCACAGGGAGAGTGCAAGGGGGGGGGGATGTTTAGGTGAACTCCTGGACCACAGCGAGAGTTCATGGGGGGGGGGGATGTTTAGGTGAACTCCTGGACCACAGCGAGAGTGCATTGCGGGGGGGGGATGTTTAGGTGAACTCTTGAACCACAGCGAGAGTGCATGGGGTGGGATGTTTAGGTGAACTCTTGAACCACAGCAAGAGTGCATGGGGGGGGATGTTTAGGTGAACTCCTGGACCACAGCGAGAGTGCATGGGGGGGGGATGTTTAGGTGAACTCTTGGAAAAAAACTCTTGGACCACAGGGAGAGTGCATGAGGGGGGGATGTTTAGGTGAACTCTTGGACCACAGCGAGAGTGCATGAGGGGGATGTTTAGGTGAACTCTTGGAAAAAACTCTTGGACCACAGGGAGAGTGCATGAGGGGGGGGGATGTTTAGGTGAACTCTTGGACCAAAGTGAGAGTGCAGGGGGGGGGATGTATAGGTGAACTCTTGGAAAAAAAGCTCTTGGACCACAGGGAGAGTGCATGGGGGCATTGCGTCAAACCCTGGCTTGGCTTCAGTTAGAAGCCTCAGGAGCCCTAGAGGATTCAGTTGAATCCCAGGTTGTATTGCTTTTACCATGTAGAGATGGAGTTGTGTACCGTGATCGCTTGGGAGCACCAAGAGCATAGGTTCGAATCCTCTCCATGACTCCTACTGATGTTCTCAGTAATAATAATAATAATATTAAAGATAATAATAATAATAAAAAATATTCTTAAGAACATGATACAGCAGTGAATTAGTTGTTACAGAAAACATGTTAAATAAAGCCATTAATACATAAAGTGTTTTGTGTATACTTATACATAATAGACCTTGAGAGTAAGTTACGGTTATATTGACGAACCGCCTCGGTAAGCTGCAAGTTTATTGTTCCTATACTGGTAAGTTAACAGTGTTGATGTTAGTAACAGGTAAGTTAACAGTGTTGATGTTAGTAACAGGTAAGTTAACAGTGTTGATGTTAGTAACAGGTAAGTTAACAGTGTTGATGTTAGTAACAGGTAAGTTAACAGTGTTGATGTTAGTAACAGGTAAGTTAACAGTGTTGATGTTAGTAACAGGTAAGTTAACAGTGTTGATGTTAGTAACAGGTAAGTTAACAGTGTTGATGTTAGTAACAGGTAAGTTAGCAGTGTTGATGTTATTAACAGGTAAGTTAACAGTGTTGATGTCTATTTGTTGCCAGGTCTGTAGGTACGTGCAGATTCCATATGAACACAGAGGGGATCGAACGCTGATCAATTAGGGATCTAAAGGGGATCCCGCAAGACCTGAGGGCGTGGATGACCCACATGGATCAGAGTGTATAATTAAAATTATACACCGTCAGGTACACGTGGGCCACCGTGTTTACCTTATGAAACATAAACATGTACATGGTATTATGTGAGGTAGATGAGGTGAGACAATTACTGCCAGGGAGTGAGTGAAGGCGTGACTGACCAGACAGTTAGTGAGGGCCAGGTCCTGGGGGTAGACGAAGGCCAGAGCGTCCAGCTGAGAGTGGGGGCACTGGTCCAGCTGCACCACCGGCGCCAAGCAGCGGGTCACGACCAGGAACACGTGGGTCGGCACCACCAGTCCTCCGCCCTCGCTGTAGGCACACAACACGTCATCCATTAAGGTGTATATCACGGTGGGTCCAGCATGGTCAAGAGCGGCCCCGTATAGCATGGTCAAGAGCGGCCCCGTATAGCATTGTCAACAGCGGCCCCGTATAGCATGGTCAAGAGTGGCCCCGTATAGCATGGTCAAGAGCGGCCCCGTATAGCATGGTCAAGAGCGGCCCCGTATAGCATGGTCAAGAGCAGCCCCGTATAGCATGGTCAAGAGCGGCCCCGTATAGCATGGTCAAGAGCGGCCCCGTATAGCATGGTCAAGAGCGGCCCCGTATAGCATGGTCAAGAGCGGCCCCGTATAGCATGGTCAAGAGCGGCCCCGTATAGCATGGCCAAGAGCGGCCCCGTATAGCTTGGTCAAGAGCGACCCCGTATAGCATGGTCAAGAGCGGCCCCGTATAGCATGGTCAAGAGCGGGCCCCGTATAGCATGGCCATGAGCGGCCCCGTATAGCATGGTCAAGAGCGGCCCCGTATAGCATGCCTGGTCAAGAGCGGTCCCGTATAGCAGGGTCAAGAGCGGCCCCGTATAGCATGGTCATGAGCGGCCCCGTATAGCATGGTCAAGAGCGGCCCCCGTATAGCATGGTCAAGAGCGGCCCCGTATAGCATGGTCAAGAGTGGCCCCGTATAGCATAGTCAAGAGCGGCCCCGTATAGCATGGTCAAGAGCGGCCCCGTATAGCATGGTCAAGAGCGGCCCCGTATAGCATGGTCAAGAGCGGCCCCGTATAGCATGGTCAAGAGCGGCCCCGTATAGCATGGTCAAGAGTAGCCCCATATAGCATGGTCAAGAGCGGCCCCGTATAGCATGGTCAAGAGCGGCCCCGTAAAGCATGGTCAAGAGCGGGCCCCGAATAGCATGGTCAAGAGCGGCCTCGTATAGCATGGTCAAGAGCGGCCCCGTATAGCATGGTCAAGAGCGGCCCCGTATAGCATGGTCAAGAGCGGCCCCATATAGCATGGTCAAGAGCGGCCCCGTATAGCATGGTCAAGAGCGGCCCCGTATAGCATGGTCAAGAGCGGCCCCGTATAGCATGGTCAAGAGCGGCCCCGTATAGCATGGTCAAGAGCAGCCCCATATAGCATGGTCAAGAGCGGCCCCGTATAGCATGGTCAAGAGCGGCCCCATATACTATAGTCAAGAGCGGCCTGTATACCATGGTCAAGAGCGGCCCCGTATAGCATGGTCAAGAGCGGCCCCGTATAGCATGGTCAAGAGCCGCCCCGTATAGCATGGTCAAGAGCGGCCTGTATAGCATGGTCAAGAGCGGCCACGTATAGCATGGTCAAGAGCGGCCCCGTATAGCATGGTCAAGAGCGGCCCCGTATAGCATGGTCAAGAGCCGCCCCGTATAGCATGCCTGGTCAAGAGCCGCCCCGTATAGCATGCCTGGTCAAGAGCGGCCCCGTATAGCAGGGTCAAGAGTGGCCCCGTATAACATGGTCAAGAGCCGCCCCGTATAGCATGGTCAAGAGCGGCCCCGTATAGCATGGTCAAGAGCGGCCCCGTATAGCATGGTCAAGAGCGGCCCAGTATAGCATGGTCAAGAGCGGCCCCGTATAGCATGGTCAAGAGCGGCCCCGTATAGCATGGTAAAGAGCGGCCCCGTATAGCATTGTCAAGAGCCGCCCCGTATAGCATGGTCAAGAGCCGCCCCGTATAGCATGGTCAAGAGCGGCCCCGTATAGCATGGTCAAGAGCGGCCCCGTATAGCATGGTCAAGAGCGGCCCCGTATAGCATGGTCAAGAGCGGCCCCGTATAGCATGGTCAAGAGCGGCCCCGTATAGCATGGTCAAGAGCCGCCCCGTATAGCATGGTCAAGAGCGGCCCCGTATAGCATGGTCAAGAGCCGCCCCGTATAGCATGGTCAAGAGCCGCCCCGTATAGCATGGTCAAGAGCCGCCCCTATAGCATGGTCAAGAGCGGCCCCTTATAGCATGGTCAAGAGCGGCCCCGTATAGCATGGTCAAGAGCGGCCCCGTATAGCATGCCTGGTCAAGAGCCGCCCCGTATAGCATGGTCAAGAGCCGCCCCGTATAGCATGGTAAAGAGCGGCCCCGTATAGCATGGTGAAGAGCCGCCCCGTATAGCATGGTCAAGAGCCGCCCCGTATAGCATGGTCAAGAGCCGCCCCGTATAGCATGGTCAAGAGCCGCCCCGTATAGCATGGTCAAGAGCCGCCCCGTATAGCATGGTCAAGAGCCGCCCCGTATAGCATGGTCAAGAGCCGCCCCGTATAGCATGGTCAAGAGCGGCCCCGTATAGCATGGTCAAGAGCGGCCCCGTATAGCATGGTAAAGAGCGGCCCCGTATAGCATGGTCAAGAGCCGCCCCGTATAGCATGGTCAAGAGCCGCCCCGTATAGCATGGTCAAGAGCGGCCCCGTATAGCATGGTCAAGAGCGGCCCCGTATAGCATGGTCAAGAGCGGCCCCGTATAGCATGGTCAAGAGCGGCCCCGTATAGCATGGTCAAGAAAGAGCCCCGTATAGCATGGTCAAGAGCGGCCCCGTATAGCATGGTCAAGAGCGGCCCCGTATAGCATGGTCAAGAGCGGCCCCGTATAGCATGGTCAAGAGCGGCCCCGTATAGCATGGTCAAGAGCGGCCCCGTATAGCATGGTAAAGAGCGGCCCCGTATAGCATGGTCAAGAGCGGCCCCGTATAGCATGGTCAAGAGCGGCCCCGTATAGCATGGTCAAGAGCGGCCCCGTATAGCATGGTCAAGAGCGGCCCCGTATAGCATGGTCAAGAGCGGCCCCGTATAGCATGGTCAAGAGCGGCCCCGTATAGCATGGTCAAGAGCGGCCCCGTATAGCATGGTCAAGAGCGGCCCCGTATAGCATGGTCAAGAGCGGCCCCGTATAGCATGGTCAAGAGCGGCCCCGTATAGCATGGTCAAGAGCGGCCCCGTATAGCATGGTCAAGAGCGGCCCCGTATAGCATGGTCAAGAGCGGCCCCGTATAGCATGGTCAAGAGCGGCCCCGTATAGCATGGTCAAGAGCGGCCCCGTATAGCATGGTCAAGAGCGGCCCCGTATAGCATGGTCAAGAGCGGCCCCGTATAGCATGGTCAAGAGCGGCCCCGTATAGCATGGTCAAGAGCGGCCCCGTATAGCATGGTCAAGAGCGGCCCCGTATAGCATGGTCAAGAGCGGCCCCGTATAGCATGGTCAAGAGCGGCCCCGTATAGCATGGTCAAGAGCGGCCCCGTATAGCATGGTCAAGAGCGGCCCCGTATAGCATGGTGCGGCCCCGTATAGCATGGTCAAGAGCGGCCCCGTATAGCATGGTCAAGAGCGGCCCCCGTATAGTCAAGAGCGGCCCCAAGAGCGGCCCCGTATAGCATGGTCAAGAGCGGCCCCGTATAGCATGGTCAAGAGCGGCCCCGTATAGCAGCAAGAGCGGCCCCGTATAGCATGGTCAAGAGCGGCCCCGTATAGCATGGTCAAGAGCGGCCCCGTATAGCATGGTCAAGAGCGGCCCCGTATAGCATGGTCAAGAGCGGCCCCGTATAGCATGGTCAAGAGCGGCCCCGTATAGCATGGTCAAGAGCGGCCCCGTATATAGCATGGTCAAGAGCGGCCCCGTATAGCATGGTCAAGAGCGGCCCCGTATAGCATGGTCAAGAGCGGCCCCGTATAGCATGGTCAAGAGCGGCCCCGTATAGCATGGTCAAGAGCGGCCCCGTATAGCATGGTCAAGAGCGGCCCCGTATAGCATGGTCAAGAGCGGCCCCGTATAGCATGGTCAAGAGCGGCCCCGTATAGCATGGTCAAGAGCGGCCCCGTATAGCATGGTCAAGAGCGGCCCCGTATAGCATGGTCAAGAGCGGCCCCGTATAGCCCCATGGTCAAGAGCGGCCCCGTATAGCATGGTCAAGAGCGGCCCCGTATAGCATGGTCAAGAGCGGCCCCGTATAGCATGGTCAAGAGCGGCCCCGTATAGCATGGTCAAGAGCGGCCCCGTATAGCATGGTCAAGAGCGGCCCCGTATAGCATGGTCAAGAGCGGCCCCGTATAGCATGGTCAAGAGCGGCCCCGTATAGCATGGTCAAGAGCGGCCCCGTATAGCATGGTCAAGAGCGGCCCCGTATAGCATGGTCAAGAGCGGCCCCGTATAGCATGGTCAAGAGCGGCCCCGTATAGCATGGTCAAGAGCGGCCCCGTATAGCATGGTCAAGAGCGGCCCCGTATAGCATGGTCAAGAGCGGCCCCGTATAGCATGGTCAAGAGCGGCCCCGTATAGCATGGTCAAGAGCGGCCCCGTATAGCATGGTCAAGAGCGGCCCCGTATAGCATGGTCAAGAGCGGCCCCGTATAGCATGGTCAAGAGCGGCCCCGTATAGCATGGTCAAGAGCGGCCCCGTATAGCATGGTCAAGAGCGGCCCCGTATAGCATGGTCAAGAGCGGCCCCGTATAGCATGGTCAAGAGCGGCCCCGTATAGCATGGTCAAGAGCGGCCCCGTATAGCATGGTCAAGAGCGGCCCCGTATAGCATGGTCAAGAGCGGCCCCGTATAGCATGGTCAAGAGCGGCCCCGTATAGCATGGTCAAGAGCGGCCCCGTATAGCATGGTCAAGAGCGGCCCCGTATAGCATGGTCAAGAGCGGCCCCGTATAGCATGGTCAAGAGCGGCCCCGTATAGCATGGTCAAGAGCGGCCCCGTATAGCATGGTCAAGAGCGGCCCCGTATAGCATGGTCAAGAGCGGCCCCGTAGCATGGTCAAGAGCGGCCCCGTATAGCATGGTCAAGAGCGGCCCCGTATAGCATGGTCAAGAGCGGCCCCGTATAGCATGGTCAAGAGCGGCCCCGTATAGCATGGTCAAGAGCGGCCCCGTATAGCATGGTCGTAAGAGTCAAGAGCGGCCCCGTATAGCATGGTCAAGAGCGGCCCCGTATAGCATGGTCAAGAGCGGCCCCGTATAGCATGGTCAAGAGCGGCCCCGTATAGCATGGTCAAGAGCGGCCCC